CTACAGGAGAAAAGTACACCTCCTGAGAAAAAAGATCAGACTGAAAATTTTATTGCCGTTTGGAAGTCTCCTACACAGGTCTGAGAAAACCGCATAGAGATTCGGGCCTGCCTGGCTGCCCTGAGCTCTTCAGACCCCAACATCACGCCTTCAGCCCCATCATCCAAGCTCTGTCTCCAACCTCCTACCTTAGTTCAGGGATTGTCTACTTCCAAAGACTTGGGGAAACATGAACAAAGGCTAAGTAAGAGTGTGTTGCCTAACCAAGTCTCAGGAGTTCTCTTTCTGTTCCTTTAACCTTCTTTGGGACAACAGGCAGTAACTGCTCAAACAAAATGACAACTTCTCAGGAAATCCTTGCGTAGCGAGTACACGATCCAGGCCAGGAAAAACTAGCCTCTTATCCTCAAAAAAACCCTTTCCACTCCCAGTCTTCTTTCACCTGTGCTTGTAAAGAAAACAAACAAAACTCAAACTCCTAAAAAACCAAGGCCAAAAACAAACCAGGAACCAACTTCTGTTAACTCTTTAGACTGTGGAAGAGAAATCTTAGAATGTTTGAGCTGGAGCTGCTAAAAGTTGTGCACGTCCTCTAAGAACTGCTTGGAAGGAGGTATTTTCTGTTTATTTGAGGTCTCCTATACATATTTAATACACGAAGATTCCCTCCATCTGCATCGATTCAGTAATAAATGCCTGGCAGAGCCACACAACACGGTAAATAACATCACCTCTGCCCAGGTCTAACACTAGAACATCATGACCGCATAGTATCAGGTACCTTAACAGAAGTGACCTCCAAAATCAGATTATGCCTGGAATGACCCTGCAGGGAAGATTCACACTTCCAGGGTGAAAACAGGGACTCTGAGGCCTAGAGCACAGAACAGCAGGCTGCAGAGGGCTCACTCCTGCTTCCAGCACAGTGTGTGTCAGTGTGTGTGTGTCAGTGTGTATGTGGGCTGGGTAGTTCCAGGGCCACACTCAGGAAACGCTGAATGAACCAACACGTAGTGCAGGGCAGCTCCTTGGGGGCAGGAATGAGGCCCTGTCGACCCCTGTTTTCAGAACCAGGCCCACAGCAGGTGATCAACATGGGTCCTGAATTAATAAACCAATGTAATTAAAAAGAATAACAGTGCATGATATAAAACTAAAAATGTCCTGATGTTCTCTTCTCCAATTTATTCTTCAAACAATTCATGATTTGGTTCACACAGACTTAGAATTTTAGAAATAGTCCATCTAACTAGACACCACAAAAACCACCTGTTTCACAGATAACAGAACTGAGGCCCAGACCAGCCGAGATCCTAAAGCCAAGTCGCAGAAGAACTAGAACTTGGGCCTCTTGGGTCCCAGCCTGGAGCTGCTCCCACACAGCTGGTCCCCCCACCCCGCCCCGGCCCCCCAGGGGTAATGACAAGGATCAGGTACATACGCCTGGATACAGGATGGAAAGAGCAGGGACCGAGTGAACACAACACCGCCTCCCCTGACTACTGAGCCAGCTCAGTAAGCGAAGACCACTTCAGTACTAAACCCATCCCGCCCCCCTTCCCCACAAAGGATACGGCAGAAGAGCTCCACACTGAACGGACAGAATCACCCAAGAAGGCTGAAAAAGAAAACATTAACGCAAGTCAAAGCACAGTTCCAGTTCATACTCAAAATGTCGTCACGTTACTAGCGAGGCTCCTAGAAAATTAAAGGCTCTGTTACAACCGATTACACATTATCCAGATTACAGTCACGAGTATTCACATAGCAGAAACATCAGAGTGGAACATTAGTTATTAGTGCCCAAGGTGAAAAGCCCAATTATAGAATGAAACACTACCACATCTTAAAAAATTATTATGTATAGAAATTTATTTATTTATTTTTGGCTGCACTGGGTCTTCATTGCTGTGCGCGGGCTTTCTCTAGTTGCAGCGAGCGGGGGCTACTCTTCGTTGTGGTGCACGGGTTTCTCATTGCGGTGGGTGGCTTCTCTCATTGCAGAGCACGGGCTCTAGGAGCACGGGCTTCAGTAGTTGCAGCACGTGGACTTCAGCAGTTGTGGCTCGCGGGCTCTAGAGCACAGGCTCAGCAGTTGTGGCGCACGGGCTTAGTTGCTCTGCGGCATGTGGGATCTTCCCAGACCACGGCTCAAACCCGTGTCCCCTGCATTGGCAGGAGGATTCTTAACCACTGCGCCACCAGGGAAGTCCCTGGAAATTTAAATTCTAGGTTTACACACTTTCTACTGCTTAAGCCTCTAGGCCGGCTAGAAACTGTCCTCACAACTGGGGGGATGGGGAACTGACAGCCCTCCCTACCCCCATCTGAGGTACAGACGGCCCCCCTACGTTTCCTTCTGGAGTCCTGAATCCAGCCAAGTATGAATTCGTGAGTTTTTTTCAGTGAAGCCAAGTAGATACAACGTTTGTAAATCACAGAAAGAATTTCTGTCTGGTAATCTTTTTATGAATTGCAAAACTCAGATTAATTATAAAACCTTAGACTAATTACTACCTTTTTGGGTAATTTACATTTTTGAAAAATTATATTATTTCTACATTTAATTTTGAAAATTACATTAATCATTATTCTGATAGCTCTGCCTCACAGAATTACTATGTAAAAATACAGTAATAACCCATTTAGCCAGCTGACTTCCAGAAGCTTCAGCCACCTGAAACATAAATACACACCCATTTCTCATGCATCATATACACCTTGAAAGAACTTTAGAAATCAAAGTACCCCCTCCTCATTTTTCAGGTAACATCAACAATTTCTCAGCATAAGTTTATAAGTAAATGTAACGTCTGTGAAAGAGTATAGAAATATTACACATTTTATAAAATAAAGACTGGCTCTACTTGGGATAATCACTTCATGATGATTTGATAATTCTGCCAAGTGTGTAACTAACTTGGCGATGAAGCCACCAAGCTGGAAGGGAGTGTGCAACGTCTCCACGCGCAGTGTCTCCAGCGGCTGTTCGCTTCTTGCAGTCCTGGGGAGACTCCAGCTGGACGGGAGGGAACTAGCCACCGCTCCTCCTGCATTCAGGACACCCTCGCATGGGCCGAGCCTTATTCCCAGCAGTGACACCAGAGCCCTCTGCCGTTCCCCGGCGGCGTGGGAGCACCAGGGCGGCTTGCCTGAGACCAGTTTTCCCGGCCACCCCTTTGTCTCACGTCAGCAGGATTCTCAGAGCCTAGGTCAACGCACTGCAATACGACTCGGATGGTGTGGGCCCGGCTCCTCCCGCATCCAGTGGAAGGGAAGCGCCCACAACTGGAGGAGCTCACACTCCGGACAGGCAGCCCTTATGACTCTGCTCTGCACGCAGCATTCACCCTGGAAAGCTGTCCCTGGGGGCTGGGGAGCAGCGACTACGCGCGTCCCGGTTACAGACTGCAGGGCTGGCAGCAGTAAAGCAGAACAGACTCCCTGCGGCCCTCATCCAGGTAAGTCTAGATAAGATAATGCAGCTAAGAAGGAGGACACACTAATGATAATAAAGCAGAAACGGAGAACTAGAAAAGCACAGTAATAAGGAGCTACTACCCCAAAGGCAGATAATAATATATTAAAATAAATTCACTGCTGAAAATCAGCATAATTAAGAGGCCCCAAGGCCACTGAGGAAAATATTTCCATTAAAAAAGATTATTTCAAAAATCTTGGTGCCTAAAGAAGCAAGTTTTAAACATCCATAAAATTCAAATATGAGAAGGATAAACTGTCCCTGGGCAAAAGGATGCCTAAATTTTTAAAGTATTTGCCAAATTTAACATTAAGGTAAAGGCCAAGGGATATGCACTTAGAGAACCGGGCCTCTGCCTTGGGCTGGACACAGACCACACTACCAACAGCAGCCCCCAGCAGGAAACTTACTAGGTTCAGACAAGAACTCGAGGGTCTACCAGCACTATCTGGAATGAGCGCAAACTGCTGGATGGGTTCTGGAAAATTCTACCATCCTGTAATGCAACACTGCAGTTGCTGGACAGTATAGGTGCTGCCACAAATTAAAAGCAGGCTGGAATGCTGAAAGAGATCAAAGAGTAGGATGCCTGGGAGTCGTTTTAAAAATACTACAGCCAAAGGGAGTAGGATGGGGATACATTCAGCTAGACAGGGAGAATGGTGATCACGGCGGGAGCTGGGTGATGGCTGCTTTTATGCAGCTGTATTACAGACGGACCTTCCTGGGAATACAACTTCAGTGTAAAATGAAGGAGACAGCGCTGTTTAGCCCAGAATTGTAGCAAGGATGGGTCACCGTTTTGCACCATCACCTCACAGCTGGCACCTGCATCTGCAGGACAGAGGATCAGGTCCACGGTGATTCTACACCCCAACCTCCAGGGTATTTACAGAATGAAATGCAGACTTTCTGTTATGTTTTCCTTTTTTCCTCTTTTACACATTTCAGTTTGGGCAATTTATATATAAATACAAATATATACTCAAGTTATATGATGTTACTATACATAAGAATTTCATTTCAGGATAATAAAGGGGGTATTACAAAATATTTGCTACAAAAAGGGGCTTGAGGGGTCGCTGGATTTAAGCAGCACTGCAGTAAGTGGTCTGCGGAAGCTGACTGGGCGCCCCAAACATGTTAACAAGGCTGCCCTTTCAAGGTGCGCTAGGAAATCCACACAACACATGTGAAGTCACTTTGATAACAGGCTCCATCCAGGCTACTGTCTGAGAGGAAAAAAGTTTGTAGACAGGGGAAGGGATGAGATATAGTCCCTTAAGCCAAGAAAGAGTGGAAGCAAACCACAGGCCGAAACAGGGCCCCAGGGAACCGGTGCTGGGGTCCACAGCCTAGTGTCCGTGGCAGGTCCACCCCTCCTACAAGGCGGCTGCAGGTGAAGCTGGCAGGAAACCTGCTGTCAGGCTTCACAAAGCCTCGGGCGGAGTGAGCCCGCTGGCCAGGCGGAAGCAAGCATCCAGCCAGAAACACGACCACCATCCTCACCGTCGCAAGTTAACAGTCATTCCGACTTACACAGCACCCTCATGAGAACCTTCTTGTGAGACAGATCTGCTTTCAGGCTTATGTTCCAAAATCAGGCTTCTAAGCCTGCAGGGCAGTGTTTCAGACCCTGGACGCTGGTGGCATTCAGGACTCGCAGCGGCCAGCCGGCAACAACCCTGCTGCCCAGCCGCACTCAGCGGCACTCTCTCCTAATTCCTACCTCTCTCACTGTTAAGCCACAGTAACTGTCACGTTGATATTTTTAAGATAACACGTGTAACAACATGGAAAAGAGAAAAAAAGGGTAGTGGAACAGAACCATTTTAAAACAAATATACACTATAAATGATGAGAAAAAAACGGAAGAATCGAAATTATAAACTTAAATTTAAAAAACCCACATTTAACAGCAGTCAGTTCAACCAGCAGCCACAACAGAGCAGCACAGTATGCAGATCAACAAAACTGAACAATTCACCCACCAGCTGACTCTACTTTCTAGGATAAACTACCCACAGGTCAAGCTGGAGAGTGCAACAGAGAGCCACCAGAGGGACAGGGGGACAAGTGGTCACTGTGACCCTTGTCGGAGAGCAGAGCCATAGCCCAGAGAGGGCAGGGCTCCCCTAGACTTGTCTGCCTGGAAATCAGGACCCCTGGCCAGTGGGGATGGAAGAGAGCCCTGTTCCAGGAGTTCCTCTTGGAATCAATAAACTTTCTTAGCAGAATTCACCAACGTCATCTGCTTCAAGACAGCACGTCCACTGCCTTCAACACGTTTCCTTGGCTTAGACACCTTCCAGACGGTGCCAAGATGGGGCCACCCGTAGCAGGTGCGTAAGCTGTAACATGCAGAAACCTTGCTGAAGCCTGATTTCACGTAACGGGCCTTCTGCTGGATGTTTCCTCAGATGCCAAGAGCATCTCCCACCCAGAGCCGCACCTCAGCAAGGAGTGTGAGAAGAGCTGCACTGAAACGTCAACGTACTGCTTTCAAGGTACTTGATGAAGCGCAGAGAGTTCATTAAATTTACTACCAACCTTGACTACAGGCAAATCAAAGACTTCCCGAGCTTCTCCCACCTCCGGATTGTCCCCGTCTTCTGAAATGATGTGTGAGGCGAGTGCATTGTACGACACTTCCTTAGCTTTCCCAGCTTTTAGAAGCTGAATAACCTTTAAAAAACCACACAAATTAAAATGGAAAACGCTGTATCTCATTCTCAATTTATACAAATTATTACAGTGAAAATTCTAATAAACACACACCATGTTCTCCACATAGGATTAATAACCTTGCACTAAGTCATATGCAATGAAACATCTGGGGACAACAAAAAGCAGCAAATCTTGATTCACTGACAGGTAAGCACGGAGGCTCCTGTGACCCAGGTACTACACAGGGTCCATCTTGAACACAGGACTGACAGCACCGTAAGTGCTGAGACTGGGCTAGCACGCGACACGCCATGTCTCAAACATAAAGGCTTGGGGACAGGTAGTTTCTGATAAATGGAAACGTTTCTGGAAGAGGAGCTACAGGAGCCGAATCCTTATGAACAGCAAGGCAAAAACACGTGCATCGTGTGGAGAGAGCAGCGTTCAACACGCTGGACAGCTGAATGTGGATTAGACCGTCAACTGTGCTTCATAGATGCTGTGCAGAAACCTTTGTATTTTATCCTGAAATAAAATACAGAATGTCTCCTGGAGAGACACTGAGGGCTGGTCAGCAAGGAAGAGGCATGATCAGGCTTCACAGAAAGACTGCCGTCAGCATACGAAGAATGCACTTACACTGCAGGAGCCATGACACCTGTTAAGAAACAACTGCAATAATTCAGGCGAAAGAGGTAGGTAACTGAACTGGAGGAAGGTCATCAGGGACAAGAAGATGATGTGAGAGAAGCAACAAGATCTGGTGACCGAAAGGGGCACGTAGAAGAGACACTAGGGAACGACAGCACACTGCTCCCGAGGACCACGTCTAAGAGCGGGTGCGGGGGGAAGACAAAAGTCTCAGTTTAGGGCATGGCTTTCTTTGGTGCCACTCTAAGAATGAGGAAGACACCCAGCACATCGAGGATGAGACCTGGGTCCCGCCTGAGTGGAGCCCTCAGTCCACTACAGAGACAGGGCAAAGCTCTGGGAGTGAATGAGACGCCGCAGCGGGAAGGGAAGGGAGGCCACGGCCAGCAGTGGAGGCTGCAGGGAGGGTGGAGGCCAGGAGCCGGACACCAGGAGCACGCTTCACGCTCAGAGCAGCCGAGTGCACCCCACATGTGGAAGTGAACTAGATGTTCATCCAACGCACGTGAACTCTCTGAACCCACATTTATAAGATTCAGAGAATCGAATATCCTGGCTCTAAACTTTTTAGAAAATATACTGTTTCAGATCAAAGTGGTTTGCAAGGCCATTTTTAAGCCCTTAAACTTGATTCACAGTTGAGTAAACATGGTTCCAGTGCAGCCTGCTCCAGGTTTTAAGTAACACATGGTTCAGGTCACTCTTAAGAGCCAAAGTCCTAAAATGAAATAGGGGGTGGGATGAGAGAGGGGAAGAACGGTGGACAGTGAAGAAAGGGAAACCCTGGAAGGGAGAAGCCGCACCTTACAGGCACTTCAGCCCTCTGAGCTCAGCACCTGTTTACCTTTAAATTCAAAGCCTCTTTACCTTAGAGTTACAGTGGAGAAAGGACCCACCTAGGTGGTGATCCAAGGGAGTTTAGTTACTAAGATACCAACAGGCAAGCCTCTGGAAGGCCAAGGCCCATCAGCCTTCCACAGATCCTTTTAGGCCACCCAAGTTTTACTTGTTAAGTATCAGTCTCCACTCAGGAGGCCCAGACAGCAGGTCTCCAAGCTTAGCACTCAGAGCCAATGAGACACCCAGGTGATAAAACTGTAAAGATAAACTTTAGGAAAAAGAACAGTGTTAAGAATCACCTGAAGACTCAGCTGCGGTTCATTCCCACAATGGAAAAACAACATTCTAACATTCAAACACAAACACAGGTTCTACTTGGAAAAAGCTTAGGAAAAGCCACGATATCCTTTGGCATGAGCCCAAACGACAAAAAAAAGTCAAATGTTTAGTGTGACGGTGTTACCAGGGTATTTTTCCATTACTGTGCAATTCACCCAATTAGGGAAATCAAGGAACACGCATCCGCTGGTGGTAAACTGAGGGTTCACTGCCGCACACGAGGTGACCGAGCCGCAGACCTGCGACCTGGGGTGGCTGCCACACCAGAGCGGCTAGCCGTCCGCTCAGCAGCCCGGGACCCACGTCCCTACCCGCTCCACCGGCCGAAGCTCCCGCCACGTTCGGACCCACCGTCTGGGCGTCGGGGGAGCCCAGACCGCCGAGGCTGCCGCGGGAAGGGCGGCCCGGTCCGAACTCCGCCCAGAAAGGAGCGGAGTGGGAAGCGGGCGAGGCGGCCACGAGACAGCACCCCGGTCCCCCACCGCGCGGGGACGGGGACAATCGGCGCAGGGCTCCAGGGCAGACCCACCTCCCAATGCCCTCCTCCCCCAGTCCGGACACAGCCCCTTCCTACCGCGGATTCCGCAGGCCCCCAGGTCCCCTCTCCCTGTTACAGGGGTCAGCACCCCTCCCAAGTTTCCTCCCTTCCCGACCGCGGGGCCCACAGACCAGCTCCCCCTCCCCTCCCTCCCCTCCGGCCCCGCTGCCGGCCTGCTCGGCGCCAGGCGGCCCAGCCTCCGCGCAGCCACGCCGGCGGGCAACCGGCGGCGGGGCCCAGACGTTGTGCGCCCTGGCGCGCGGCCGGAGCGAGGACGGGCCGGGGACGCGGGGGTTGGGGCGGGGGCGACGCGGTACCTGTGGGTCGATGTCGCCCACCGCGTAGTACTTGACCTCCCTGAACATCTGCTCGGGAACTTTGGGCGCCTGGTCCGACATGGTCGCGGCGGCCCGAAGGCTCCGCGGCGGCTCCCGCCCCGCCAGGCCCGCCCGCGGGGCCCGCTCCCAAACGGCGCGGCCCGCGCGGCCACGGCCCGGTCCTGCGAGTCGGGCCCGCTCCCCCGCCCTCGGCGCCCCCGCCCGCGCCGGGCCGCCCAAGCGCGGGAGCCGCGCGAGCCCTGCGGGCTGCACCATCCCGCCCGCCGCCGAGGGGGAGCCGAGAGACGGGCGGTCGGCCGGCGCCGCCCAGCGCCTCTGCTGCAGCCCGCGGCCCTGCGGACATTGGCACCGAGCAGCCCGCTCCAGAGACTGGGGCCCGTGGCCGCCGCCGCCCCCTCAGGAGGAAGCCCGGGGGTCGAGGGGAAACGCACCCCCCTCAGTGGGACCAGAGTGGGCCGGTCCCGGGAAAGAAGGGAACGCGGAGGCCCCTCCCGACAGCACGCGCGGCCGCAGGGGCGGCGCATGCGCGCGGCGAGGGGCGGGCCCGCGGGGTCGCAGGCTGCCGGCGGCGGCGGGAGCGGGTCACTGGCCTCGGGCACAGGGGAGCGGAGCGTCGCCGACTGCTGCCAGACAGGACCCGAGGTGACGCCTCAGGCCCTGGAGCTCGAGTCCCGGGTCCCAGCTGAAGGGCGGGGTCGCTGGGCCGAGTCAGGGACGGAGCGCTGCAGGCCGGCCGAGGCGCGCCAGCCTCCCGGACGCGGCCAGTGGGCTTCTCCCCGCCGGCCGAACCCGCTCCTGTCTTGACCCGGGCCGTCGGAACCAGCCCCGCTCTCCTCCCTCCCGGCACTGCTGACGCCAGCAAGCCGCCACGTGTACCCACGCTCTGACGTCATCCGGCGGCGCCGCGGCGCGAGGAGCACGGGGGTCTGCGCGCACCTGCGCTCCGCGCGCTGCTCCCGGCTCACCTGCGCGGGGGAGGGGGGCGGTGCTGCCGGCCCGACCCCAGCCTTCCCCAGGGACAAGGGTTTGTCCTAGTCCTGAGAAGCCTGAGAATGGAAGGGGACGTGAATCAGGCCCACTGCTTCTTAACTGCTAAGCGGAAAGACATTTTTAAGTAAATGTTAGTGAAATTGGTCGAGAGAGAAACCTTGCAAAATTATTGCGGCAGCCTCCTATAACTCATTTTTGAGGCCCTTTGTATTACTTTTATTCTGCGATAACAGAGGAGTTCTGAAAGTGACAGTTGACGTGATTGGTTCATTGACCAGGACGCAATACAATGGGCACTGGCTCTTTTTAATCGGCGAATACGGTTTTGATTGCACGCACGTATGTAATAAGTGATTTTGTATGGGCAGAAAGTAAGCACACATTAGGCCTTTTAAATACCCATTTTGCCATTTTCATTTGTCTTTTGAACAGTCTGAAACAGCCCTATTCTAAAGCTACCAATTTTTTAAATAAAAACATTCAGTACTTGCTGAATGAATAAGAATGTACTGTCTTTCCTTTGAATACCCAAGCATATATTTGGTATTGACCATTGTAACATTTTACCTTCCATGTTAAGAAAATGTAGGAGGGATAAATTAGTTCTAAATACCAAATCAAAATTAGCATGCCCTTTTATTTACCTGTGTGAGAGAACTTATTTATTGATAGCTTTTTTCTTCCTTGGTTAAACAGGAACTAAGCATGTATTTTTTTTTTTTTTTTTTTTTT